CAATGAAGGGTAGGCAACGCATCTGCATTTGCGGATGTCTGGGCAGCGGTCGCTTTCCATTTCAATGGATTCGGGTGGCCGCTTGCTCTTTTGTTACAAGATTCAAGTTTCTATATGGAACAGAGTCTGTCTGTAACACTAATGACAATAAAGTATAAATAAATTGTAACCTAAAAAGTAGAGAGAACAGATTTTTTAAACAGATTTCATAAAAGATTCTTCTTAAGATGATGGACAATCACATAAACATGAAAAAAAATCCTACCAAAAAAGTAACCAAAAAAGGTAGGCAGAGATAAAGGACTTCCATTAAGCGCGGTCAGCTAGAAATGTATGGAAATTGCAATAATATTTCATAAATTATTTGTCATGTTTATTATTATTTGTAATAATATCGCTAATCGAAATTCACTGTGTACAAGGGACAGATATTATGCCATTGGAAATTACAAAAATGATTTTACAATACAAATTAAAGATTTTAAATCATAAGGAATATGTCTATTAAAAAAAGATTGTTATTTACGCAACTAACAATATCGGCGGGAATGCAAAATAGTTTTAATACTTTAATTAAATGAATTGTGATCGTCCATCTCTTAATAATAATGTAAAATTCCGATTTTTTTTTAATATTTAACAGATAATTTACATTGTAAATATTAAAATTCATATAATAGACTCGTGCATATAGATTTATAATTCAACATCTAATTGCAATTTTAATTTTACATTTTCATCCAGAGATCACTAAAATACTTTTATTTCAGTTAATAAAAACATTCACGTAAAAAGGTTCGAAAATCTATTAACATATTTTATTATTTACAATGTAAACGTTAATAAAGATGGACATATTATTGGATTGTACTTGTAAATCTTGACGATTTTGACTCAAAGTATTACGCGTGTCCGCTAGAGGGCGTTATTTCTTAGTCAGTCTAAAGATGTCGTTGAGCGGCGAGTACGTCGTCCGCGAGGGGATGGCGTTGTACCCGAACGACGGCTGCGCGTCCGCGCGGAGTATCACAACGCCTGCGGAAATATTATAGTTAATATACAATCAAACTTGTAGCTATTAAAAATAATCAGGCGCCTTAGCAAAAAAACGGCAATGAAAAAAAATGCCGTTGTAACAGATCTAGAATGAATCGGTAATTACCTGAAGGGTTCACCTTCACCTTGATCTTGGTCTGCGGGGACAGCACGCCGTAGTCCACATCCTCGTACAAGTCCTAGTTACAACATTATATTAAAAATCAATTATTATTAATTGTTCATTAAATATATTTACTATTAGCCCTTCTATGTATCAAATAGCAAACCTTTCTCATGAAGTTATTGTGGGTCAAATTCTTTTTTCATTAGTTTTCCAGTCCCAAATTGAGTTCTAGTTCCAAGAGAGATGGATGGATTGCGTGAAAGGTGACATGATCAAGAAGGGAGTGATGACTGATGACTGATAGAGTTATTCGGAGGAGTTGAATTGAGTTCTTATTCTAGACCTAGGGCATGAAATGCAAGCTTCATCTATATTAATATTATAAAGAGGAAAGATTTTTATTTTTTTAAGTACCGAAATAACTAAAAAACTACCGGATCGATTTCAAAAATTCTTTCATCAATAAAAAGCTACATTATCAGTGAGTAACATAGGCTATATTTTTTTTAACAAAGATGCAAGCAGCTAGTGTTATGTGTTACCTCAAGCCTGTACCCCGCGGGGTTGTTGAGGCCGAGCTCGCGCAGAGTGACGGCGACGTCCGAGGGCGTGCCGTCCGTGCGCCGGTTGAGGAACGCCACCGCGTACGAGTAGTGCTGGCCCTGGATAGGCACTATCGGACGAGACCAGATCTCGATACCGCGGTGCTGCGGAAGTATTACAGAAATAGATATTAATACAATAAACCCATAATACTTCGGCGATTGCGATCTGAATGACATTCTTGAACACTTGTCTAATAGTCACAATAAAGTAATCAAGAATATAGAAGTCATTAGTACACATAACAGAACCAAACTTTTACATCTAGGCAACTGAGCGTTTTTGGCTCAGGGGTTAAGCTGGTTGACTTTAAACGCAAAAGGTCCAGGGATCGAATCTCACCATCTACTAATGTGTTTTTCTAATTTCATATTTTTTATACATATCTACACGACATTCTTACGGAAGGAAGAACATCACTTCGTTGTGGGCACAGTCACTGCTAACTTAAGGTAGCAAGCCCCCTCAGGAGGCGTATCAGCTGATGAATCAAGCAACTATTAGAATATTACCTTGTATATCCTCCTGCCCTGTATCCCGAGAGGATCCTGGTCTACATCTATGATCTTCCTATTCTGTAAGATGGCTTTGTACTCAGGCCTGATTGTGCGCAAGTCCACGCTCATGAGCAGCGGCGCGGCGAGGATCGCCCAGATCGCGAACTGAGTTTTACTCTGCTCGTACGATAGACCGAAGTTTCCTATGATCAGCTGCGAAATAAAAAGGACATTTAATGGTCATTTAAGTTAATGTTTATTGGTGTAAATTTTTAAGTTACACTGCCGTTTAGGAAGAAATCGGATCATTTTCAACCGTCACCCTGCAATGCCCCCACGTGAAGACAAATGACAATGAAGTTTCATCCGTCCCACCTTTTGCGACGAGAGGACGGTTGGGACTTATTTTATTTCATACGGGTTCCATCTGTCATCTTATTGGTGATAATGGGACTAAAAGGTGGGTAAGATGAAACCTTTTATTTTCACATGGGGACAGAGCGGGGTGACGGTTGGGAATAATCCAAGAAATCAAGGTTATGTAAGTAAGACTTAACTCTCTTGAGTGTGACTAGAGAGTCTCTAGAGGTGCAAAGGTCATTTTTGATTATCGTATGTCGTACATTTTAATGGTAATTAAATCATTACAACGTGTTACGTTTCACTTATTCGTTTTTATATAGATATAAGAGTAAATTTACCATGTCAGGGTCGTTCCAGTGTCCAGGCCCGGCGTTAGGTACGATCACATCCTGGTGGTTTCCGTAGTAGTCTATGATAGACTCGACGGACGCCCACGAGTCTTGAATGTCGTCAAAATTACGCCACAAGTTGCAGTGCTCGATTATTGACGTGAAGTTGGGCTGAGAATTAAAAATCACATTTTATTACTAGAGAATTAATATGTACTAAAAGTACTAGATGGCGCTGTTATTTAGAAAGTACTGCTAGATGGTGTTAAAGATAACCACTAGATGGCATTATTATTAGTTTTTTCCGTTTACTTTTAAAAGCGTCTAAAAGACGGATTACGACCTGACCTGTATCCCGGCGTATATCTGGTAGACAGGCCAGCTGCAGGAGTAGACCATCTGTCTGCCGGTGAGGTTTAGTTCGCGGCCGAACGCGGGATAGCCGTGGTCCATGTCCGCGGGCAGCGCGTAACATCCATCTAACTTTACGTAGTCTACATCCCACGCCGCGAACGTTGCCGCATCTGAAAATATATACAGATTATAAACGATTTCTTAACATCTGTAATACCATCAGATTTCTGACAGTTAACCTTTTGTTAGATATAATTTGGGTTGCTAAAATATCTGTAATTTATTTGAGAAGTAGAGACCTCAATTTAAAGGGCTTATGTTACAAATGAATGTTTTAACATCTGAAACTGGAAAAAAGACTAAATAGTAACATAAATTGTTCCATCTAAAACTTATTTACATGTTTAATAACTCAAATGTTTGTTACATTGTACAAAACACGTCACACAAAACACTTTAAGAACACAAAATGTCGTTTTAGCGGAGTCATCTATAATACTAACATAATCTTTTTTATTAATGAGTAAAAAAACATAGCAATATGTGGTCTACATTTTACGCAAACCTCATTGAATAACGTAATGTTGAAATTCGTAAATTGAAGCTGTCCATTACATATTCGTGCAGCATAAAAACCAATTACAGTCCATTATTGACATTCATCGTACGGCCGTCACGGAAAGTGGATCAATTGCTACCCATCATACTAGTTACGTAACCCTCACGTGTCTAGAAAACGCGGGCGATTTGACTAAACTATCGCACAATTGTGTGATTGTCTTTTGTTTTGCAGCCAATTCAAATGTTTAGTTGCAACTAAAAATCTAGTAGACAAATCAAAGCATTGAAAAGTTGGCTCCAACGTTTGTGCAAACATATTGGTCTTACTGTCACATTTTAAGCGGTGTCAATTTACAACCATACTTTATATAGATTTAAACTAAGCCTTTTAGTTTCTTAGTTATTTCTTTACACTTAATCTTAGGTCTTATTACGATATATAATGCGTAGACATGGATTCGACCACTACTTCGAGTAACATATGTTTTCTTCTAGAACCTAGTCTACGTATTTGCGAAAACAATTAGATTCGTCAAACCGTTTCGGAGAAACGTAGTAAAAATCTATCAATTCAACAAGAAAATCCATCTAAACAATAATTAACGTATGAATTTGTAAATAATGACAGAAATTTTATTAACAGACATAAGTTCTCCACTAAAGAAGTCTCTTAGTGGCCAATATCACTGAGTGTAGCAGTTAACATTTAAAAAAAACATATCGTGCTAAACGAAAACTTTATTGGTCATAATTATAGTAAACAATTCGACTACGAAATTAACCGATGAGCTATCGTGTTAACGATACTTCCTCATATCTATTTGTTATTCTAATCCGTTATATTCACGCTATTTCCGTTTTTAGGTTAACTGCGCCACGGAAAAGATATATAAATGTATCGTAATATATTACGCTGATATTTTATATGTTCAATAAGTTTTAATTGATATTATGCAAACTAGAATACATTTTATATAATTCTAGCTTTCGCCTGCAACTCCGTTCGCGTGGAATTAAAAAAACAAAGGTAAGTAACCTATGTTTTCATCCAGACTATCCTCTATATCCATACCAAATTTTATAGAATACCGTTTAGCCGTTTAGGCTACAAATTCTAACAAACATCCTTTCATCCATCCATCTATCTAAACTTTCGCATTTATAATATTAGTAGGAAGTAGGATTTAATTTTACAATGTCATTAAATTTTATGAAATCGCTTTGCATTACAATTTGGGGTCGTGGTTTAATTATTTATTACTAACGACCCGCTTCGGCTTCGTCCGGATGGCATAGGATATCCAAACTTTAAGGAAATTCTAGTACAGAAGCTCAGTAACACAAAAAGAAAATTGAAAATCATATTGATATAAATGCCAAACTTCGGATGGATGGATGAATGTTTATTACTACGCATCTCCAGAACTAACAGATCTCACTAAACTTTGTCATTGATGGCAAAGAACACATCATAGAACAGTATTTTTTAATCACATATCAGCTAGTAACAAAAATTTACCTCCGGCAAGATGGCCGACAACGCCCGGATATCCGGCGCACGTGAAGTTGCCGTAGTCTTCGTATATCCCGAACTTCAGACCTTTGCTGTGGACCTGAAACAATTTAACAACCCTAAGTAAATGTTTATATATAAAAGTTTGTTAGGATCGAGGTAGAAGGAAAGTTTGTAATCTCTGTTTACCCACTGGATTGCGGCCTTTTGTTACTTATTAAAAACATAAGAATTGTGTAGTCGACCTTATATGAGACCCATCATACTAATTGTACTAATATTATAAATGCAAAAGTTTAGATGGATGGATGTTTGTTAGAGTTTGTAGCCTAAACTGCCAAAGGGATTTCGATGAAATTTGGTAAGAATGTAGAGTATAGTCTGGAAGAAGACATTATCTACTTACTTTTTTTTTTAAATTCTACGGGAACGGAGTCGCGAGCAAAAGCTAGTAAACTATAATACTCAAATTGAAATAAATACATCCTGTTATCGTATTTATACCATATCTATATCACCTTGTTACTCTTATTACCTTGTTGTACGGTTGTCCAATTTTTGCAGGTAATTGCAAAAAAATTGTACGATTCTTTTGTCAGTTCGTAAAATTATAACACCTAAAATTATGATTACTAGTTATTACATGCTAAAAACGTCTCCGGTTGCCGAGGGCAAATAGTTTACGTTAATTGTAAATTGGAGTACCCGAATTAAAAAAAAACGATACAAAAACCGGTAATTGTCCGGGGCAAGCCCGAAATCATAGATTAAGTAACGTCACACGAATTTGATCTATGAGAACAAAGAGTATGCGATTGTCTATTGTTTGATAACCGGTTTTTGCAAAGCGTAATAGATTAAAAATCTGATTGTTATCTGTGATTACAGTAATGTTATAAACTAGGGCTGCTAAGTTACGTGTGAAGACGTAAGGTGACATAATTCAAAGGTATTGCACAAAACCGTGTTACCCTAACATAGTAGTTAAAGAAAGAGAGTTAGTTTTCTTCGATTCAATAGACAAGAAACTTTAAAGAAATCTATCACCTATATGCAATTATGTTTGAATAACGCTATAAATATTTTTAATAACCTTGGTAAGTGTTAGTTAATTTTCATAGTTTTGTAGTAACAAATATTTTGTGGCAGCCCTAAATACGGCACGAGTCGCTCCCATTTCTTGGTCCAAGGTTATGAATTTCGTAAGCCAGTGAACAAAATAAACTCATGTATATTTTTAATACTCATTCAGCAATACGATTATCTCAGTTTTATATCAAAGTAAATAGTCAAGCATACTAATATTATAAATGCGAAAGTTTAGATGGATGAATGATTGTTAGAGTTTGTAGCCTAAACGGCTGAACGGATTTCATTGAAATTTGGTAAAGATGTAAAGTCTGGAAGAACATATAGGCTACTCACTTTTGTTTTGTAATTTCACACAAAGCTGCAGGCGAAAGCTAGTTTCATACAATCGACAACGTTGTTAATTTACAACACATCGATATTCATCATTAAAACTTCCTTCCTTACTTTCTTTGAGGAAATTTTACGTCCACTCTCAAGACTGGTTGGTCGCATCACTATCAACATAAGGTTACACAATCATTCGATCTTAATTTAAGGGTCTATACACGCTAGCGAAATTAATAACGTAAAAAAAACGTTTGCGTCTTCTATAAAAAATCAACTTTTTACCATATAATTTTATCGAAACAAAAGAATTTTTCCACTGAATCTAAACTAAATGTGCAAAAGTTTTGCAATTCAACGTTACTATTCGCTCGTCGACGATATATTTACGTAACACTATAATTGCTTACTTATTACAAGCAAGTGGGACATTGAAAAACGCCTGACGTATTCCTTCATTATTGATGAACATTAATAGCGCTAGTTTCGCGCGGCGACGTGGGAAAACTAGTTATTGCAGCGCCATTTTGAAATCAAAATGCATTTGACATTAAAACCATGTTAATGGCTTCCTTGCTTTTCTCTATAAACATAGCTTATAATATAAGGATAGGCCACAAATCGTTTGTAAATTCTTATTTGCAAACGTGCAAAGATGTTTAATTAAGCGAGTTAGTTTCTTTTATCGCGGTCAGATAATTTGTAAAAACTACAAACGTAGTAAACTACAGAAAAAATAAGAAATTGTCTTATTTCTCTTAAATTCAACGGACTAGATAAATTAGTCGGTCTATAGTCATTCAGTAATTGCCTTTACATCTATTTAGTACTAGCTGTTGCCCTCGACTTCTTCCACGCAATATTGAGATAAAAAAGTAGCTTATATGCCCGTCTCTGTCAGATACCCTTCAGTGAAAGTCCGGTCAAAATCCGGGGACAGACAAACAGACCAAAAAAAAATTATACGCGACTTTCGTTCTTAGAAACGCATATACATCATTTTCCCGAAATCTGGAATTTTTCTTATGATATTACCAACAGACAGTATAGTTATTATATATACAGATTTTTGGAATGTTTTGTACAACCCTATTGCAAATAAAACCGAATGCGAGTCCTTCGTAATCCTTGCCGTATTGACGACTTCCGGCGAACGCAACTTGTTGCAACAACCGAAACATTCCCAGACCGTAAAGCGAATTAATGTTATTTGCACATGAATATTTACGTTCAATATTTATGTTTTAACATCCGTCGATAAACCTAATCACATTTAAGTTCTTAAACTAACATTTACGCGTTAAACTTTATGTTAATTTAGCTTTTACCCGCGACTTCATTCGCGCGGAATTTTCTTTTCGCAGTAATTTTATTTGAGTAATAAATATAACTTATGTTACACGTAATAATATAGCTTTTTAATAGCAAAAGCATTTTTGAAATCGGTCCATTAAGCTACATACACAATTACAAATTTTTACTCTTTAAAATATTAGTAAGAGACCTGGAAAATTAGCCTTGACATTTCTCTCGTAAAAAATTTAATTCTCGCTCCTTTTATAAAATAATAGCAAACTTTCTTTAGCATATCAATTACACATGAGAAACATAAAGCTGCCACCACAATAGGGCGTTTCGCGATCTGTCGCAAACAGCAAGGCGAACGCGTGGGAACCGCACCCGACACCGCCCGCGAAGGTCGACCGAGATATATAGATACCGACTGTCAGTCCGTATTGTTGTTTGTTTATTGTTGAATAGTTCACATGAAGGGCCCTAGTGTGTCGACACCGTTATAAACGAGATCGCAATTCTTTTATACGAGGATTGCTTGAAAATGTAATTACAGCAGTTTATTAAAAACAAGTCTGAGGTGTCTGCGTGTGCACATCTTTGACTAAACTAACGCACAACTGTTTAGTCTCGCTTTGATTTCTATGAGCTTATATGGAGGTTAGACTACTCGATTTTCAACTGTGCAACTAAACAGTTGACGGCCACAAAACAGTCGACAATCGCACAACAGTTGTGCGGTAGTTTAGTCATAGGTGAGCGCCTCTAAACGTTTATTAGTACAGAATTAATTGTACACAATCACAGGCAGTGGTAGAGCCGGTGTAATACCACGACCACACAGAAAACAGGCGTGATGTGGAAACAATTCCGCGTTTCGTCTTCGAGTGTGGTGCCGTAGGCTTAATTTTAGTACCTTTCCCTTTCCACCCTTTTCTTAGAGGAAAGGATGGGAAGGAAAAGTAGATTTGACGGTGGAGGAGACGCATAGGAAGGGGGAATTTCCTCTTTATGTGCGTCTTCTCTTCCGTCAATTAAGGGTAGGCAACGCATCTGCAATTGTGGATGTTTATAGGCAGCGGTCGCTTTCGATTTCGGTGGATTCAGGTGGCCGTTTGCCATTTATAAAAAAAACAGGACAATAAGTATGGAATAGTTTGGATGTAGTATAGTCTGAGCTAGATATAGCTTAGAGCTGTATTAAATAGCTCGCTGCAATACACTTGGTTTTCTATTGGTTTCGTTACGGTTGTGTCTCGCTTTCACAGCAGTGCTAGGGTCCATAAGGTATACTTGCAGTAGGTAGTGTTAAGGAACAGAGTGCAATGAGCCGCTTGATGCAACATTTTATTTATCAATCCCACGTAGGCTTCGAATCGAATATATTACTAAACTGACCTCAATATAAGACGTATGTCTGTAACAAATTATATTAAAATGTTTAGTTACTAAGGTCATATGTGTATATAATTTGCAACGGCATTAATTCGTGCAGGATATTGTTTGAGAGCTAGAGGAAGTTGTTTTGTAATGATAGATTACGTATCCGGTATATTTCTCAATCGATTAGTCGTGGAAGCTACTCAAAGCTCAATGAACAGTTTCCTGTGACTAAAGCTTCTTATATTTAATTTATTAGAGCTTTCGCACGTGACACCGTGCGAGTGGAATAAAAAAAACAAAAGTAAGAAGCCTATGTGTTCTTCCAGACTATCCTCTACATCCATATTAAGTTTCATCGAAATCCGTTTTTTCCTTTAGGTTACAAACTCTAACAAACATCAATCAAAATTTTCACATTTATAATACTAGTAAGATATATTGATATAATAAATTAAGTTACATTTTAAAAAATGAACCATTCAAGGCTTAGAAAGGACGGAAATGATTCAACCTATTTGACGTGTCTAGGTCAAAAACATATCCCAATGTACAATGTATTACGTAATCGAAATTTAGTACTAGTAGGTCAAGTACAAGACAAGTACAAATTAATGCAAATGAGTAACCAATATCAAGCTGAGAGGAAAGTTGTGAAAACTCGAGCGATCTAAATTCAATTTCATAGTTCGAAATTGAAATAGTTTCGACATAACTTTCGAAATGGGTAAAGAGCCAAATAATACTACGTACTTCGTACTATGGTACATCGTACTTTGTACTTCGTACTAATTGTTAATATAAACGCGATTGTTTGGATTTTAGAAGTTATCTATAGAACAGCTTAGTTCTGGTTCCAATTAAGTCTAGATGTAGTAAACTGCTACACTTACGTCACGCTTTACATATTTTCACGCTATTACATTAAAGGGGTGAATAAATTGGAAAACATTGCTCTACTATACAATACGCACGGGACCAGCTAGTATGTTCTAATTTGATTTCTCATCT